CCATGGAGGAGGAGGAGGAGGAGGACACGGAGGTGGTGGCCATGGAGGAGGAGGAGGAGGCCACGGAGGAGGTGGCCACGGAGGAGGTGGTCACGGAGGAGGTGGTCATGGAGGTGGTGGTCATGGAGGCGGACACCACGGTTAAAAGATTCAAGGATCATCATATTCACATCAAATGCTGGACATCTGATATCATATTTGTCGATTGCACTCACCATTCTGCATCCATCCATTCTGTCTATTTCTCAACGAGTACAAATAAAGCTGTGATTTATATTGTAAATATATCTTTGGTTATATTTTCTTCAAGTACAATCAAATTCAAGATTGTATGAGCTAGTTTCCCTACTTACTTTTCAGTGTCCTGCATAGTGATTGTCACTTTGGAATCATTGCCCACAAAGGTTAGGAACCTCGGAGGCCTGCCAATAAACCTATACACATGTTGAACAAAGCAACTAGACTGTTTCTGTCCGAAAATTCATGAAGTCCCATTTAGTATCGTACTATTATTATGGCCTCTAAACGTCCACCTGGCTTATAATTACAGCCGTGTGCATGTCCAAATAAAACTGTGGCAAGTGCCTCAATGCACTCATGCAATGCCGATAGAATTAAGAGCTTATACAGTTGAGCAGCGCTCCACCAATACAACGGCACGTTCTCAAGAGAAAGCCCACTCTAAACCAAAACCAATTGGTTTGTTTTCTGTTTTTCAAAAGTCCAGCGCAATATGAATGGTCAAGGAGCAGATTCGCTCTAACATAGACTAGGCCCGAGACCACAGTTACGTCCCCTAAGTTTTACCATGACCCGGAAGGTAAATAGGAGAATATAGTCCGCTGTTTGAATGGGTTGTTGAGTCTGTGCCAGATATGTTTGGAGTGACTTGTGATAGCTTAAATGCAAGATTGGACATTGTATTGTGTTGGTAATTTGTTTTGATCCAAAATGTGTGCATGATATTGACTCGAACTTCCTATGATTTGACCCCCAGTTGAAGGCCGATGGGTGTGTTTCGGCTTGATACTTCCAGTGACCGTTGTTGACAGCGTTTACTTGGAAGTCGAGCTGGTGGACCCAGACTGGTATTTTGCTGTTCAAATGATAAGTAACAGGTTAGTCAGCATGGGCAATATTAATCAGTATGAGTTGGCATGCCACTGTAGATAGCAAAGAATGACGAATAATTGTGCTCTGAGGCCAGATGAATGTTCATCTCTGGTGCTGTAGTTTAGTGGGTGGGTGTGGGTAATGGTTGGCAGGAAGGGACTCATACATGGGTAATAGATTGACGGTTGAAGCCCCTAGTGCCTGTCATAAACTACCACCACATCCATGTTCCTGCGGAGACAGTGGTTTCATCAGGTATTCGTGTGGTGGATAAATATACCCTGTCCACATGTGGTGTTCGAAAGCTGAGATTTTTCCACTCTTTAGAAAATGTTCATGCATTTCATCATTGATTAGTGTTTGGGCCAGTTACGAAATAGCATAAAATGTGACGTGAACTTTCTCACCCAAACACTCCCAAACACACACATATACACACACGAGATAAACTTAGATGGAAGAGTTCCTTTTAAAAGTAATATGGGCAGGGATGACATGATTTCCCTGTGTTCATTCATGTGTTATAGGCCAGAAAACCAAAGAGCGTATATCATCAGCTTTCACCCTGTTTTATTGTAGAAAGTAATGAGACTTTGAAATTATTAGGGCAGGTATTCAAACTTTGAAATATATCACACACTTGAAAAATCCAACTTCACATAAAGTTTGATTATGAATAGATGAATAATTAGCTTCCAACAACCTCTGCTTTTAAACACGTATTTGACATACGTTGATAAACGTCCTTTGACTCCAAGTCATGGTAGCTTAGTAGACTTAGTACTTGCACCCAACGAAATTCTAAAGGTCAGCATTTATCCTTCATTTAAAATATTCTATCTCCATTCAAGTTTTTCACAAAACGGTCTGTAGCTGTAATTGCATTGGATGAACCACTAAATCTATCATGCTTCCCGGCAGTGAGATAGCCACAGGGTGCCAGGTTAGGTCACAAATACACAGTTTGCATTTAATAATTATGCAGGAAGATATGCATAATACAGAGAGGCAGGTGACAATGTCCCATGTGATATTACATAATAGAGATTCATTCTTCATGCTCTAAAGTTGTAAAAACTCTCATTGGAATTTTATTTACTCAAATCTTCCAATGTGGGCATTAACATTCAACATCCTGATTTCCTGTACCACATGTATATAAGGCGGTGTGAATCCCAAAAGCGACATTCAAATTGTTTATTCTCTCGTGGATAAACAGCGTAACTGACAGGATGCGCCTTCTTAACGTTGCAGTTGTTGTAGTCTTGGGTAAGTGTGCCTTATCTGATGAAAATTCGAAATCTTAAACTTTGTAATAATCAACTTTATTAGCTCTTGCTGAGTTTTAAGTTGCTTTTCGATTTGCTGACAACGTAATGAATAGGATAGTTTCTACCATGGTCTAAACTGTATCAGGAATGGTGGACGGATTTTGTGTGTGTGTGTGTATCCTGTCATATATGACCACTTATGTATTGTTGTTTCTTTACATTCTTCACAGTCTTCCTTGGCTCCGCCCTTGGTGGCCATGGTGGTGGTGGTGGCGGCCATGGAGGCGGAGGCCATGGAGGTGGCGGCCACGGTGGTGGTGGTGGTGGTCACGGAGGCGGCGGTCACGGTGGTGGAGGTCACGGAGGTGGTGGCCATGGAGGAGGAGGAGGAGGAGGACACGGAGGTGGTGGCCATGGAGGAGGAGGAGGAGGCCACGGAGGAGGTGGCCACGGAGGAGGTGGTCACGGAGGAGGTGGTCATGGAGGTGGTGGTCATGGAGGCGGACACCACGGTTAAAAGATTCAAGGATCATCATATTCACATCAAATGCTGGACATTTGATATCATATTTGTCGATTGCACTCACCATTCTGCATCCATCCATTCTGTCTATTTCTCAACGAGTACAAATAAAGCTGTGATTTATATTGTAAATATATCTTTGGTTATATTTTCTTCAAGTACAATCAAATTCAAGATTGTATGAGCTAGTTTCCCTACTTACTTTTCAGTGTCCTGCATAGTGATTGTCACTTTGGAATCATTGCCCACAAAGGTTAGGAACCTCGGAGGCCTGCCAATAAACCTATACACATGTTGAACAAAGCAACTAGACTGTTTCTGTCCGAAAATTCATGAAGTCCCATTTAGTATCGTACTATTATTATGGCCTCTAAACGTCCACCTGGCTTATAATTACAGCCGTGTGCATGTCCAAATAAAACTGTGGCAAGTGCCTCAATGCACTCATGCAATGCCGATAGAATTAAGAGCTTATACAGTTGAGCAGCGCTCCACCAATACAACGGCACGTTCTCAAGAGAAAGCCCATTCTAAACCAAAACCAATTGGTTTGTTTTCTGTTTTTCAAAAGTCCAGCGCAATATTAATGGTCAAGGAGCAGATTCGCTCTAACATAGACTAGGCCCGAGACCACAGTTACGTCCCCTAAGTTTTACCATGACCCGGAAGGTAAATAGGAGAATATAGTCCGCTGTTTGAATGGGTTGTTGAGTCTGTGCCAGATATGTTTGGAGTGACTTGTGATAGCTTAAATGCAAGATTGGACATTGTATTGTGTTGGTAATTTGTTTTGATCCAAAATGTGTGCATGATATTGACTCGAACTTCCTATTATTTGACCCCCAGTTGAAGGCCGATGGGTGTGTTTCGGCTTGATACTTCCAGTGACCGTTGTTGACAGCGTTTACTTGGAAGTCGAGCTGGTGTACCAAGACTGGTATTTTGCTGTTCAAATGATAAGTAACAGGTTAGTCAGCATGGGCAATATTAATCAGTATGAGTTGGCATGCCACTGTAGATAGCAAAGAATGACGAATAATTGTGCTCTGAGGCCAGATGAATGTTCATCTCTGGTGCTGTAGTTTAGTGGGTGGGTGTGGGTAATGGTTGGCAGGAAGGGACTCATACATGGGTAATAGATTGACGGTTGAAGCCCCTAGTGCCTGTCATAAACTACCACCACATCCATGTTCCTGCGGAGACAGTGGTTTCATCAGGTATTCGTGTGGTGGATAAATATACCCTGTCCACATGTGGTGTTCGAAAGCTGAGATTTTTCCACTCTTTAGAAAATGTTCATGCATTTCATCATTGATTAGTGTTTGGGCCAGTTACGAAATAGCATAAAATGTGACGTGAACTTTCTCACCCAAACACTCCCAAACACACACATATACACACACGAGATAAACTTAGATGGAAGAGTTCCTTTTAAAAGTAATATGGGCAGGGATGACATGATTTCCCTGTGTTCATTCATGTGTTATAGGCCAGAAAACCAAAGAGCGTATATCATCAGCTTTCACCCTGTTTTATTGTAGAAAGTAATGAGACTTTGAAATTATTAGGGCAGGTATTCAAACTTTGAAATATATCACACACTTGAAAAATCCAACTTCACATAAAGTTTGATTATGAATAGATGAATAATTAGCTTCCAACAACCTCTGCTTTTAAACACGTATTTGACATACGTTGATCAACGTCCTTTGACTCCAAGTCATGGTAGCTTAGTAGACTCAGTACTTGCACCCAACGAAATTCTAAAGGTCAGCATTTATCCTTCATTTAAAATATTCTATCTCCATTCAAGTTTTTCACAAAACGGTCTGTAGCTGTAATTGCATTGGATGAACCACTAAATCTATCATGCTTCCCGGCAGTGAGATAGCCACAGGGTGCCAGGTTAGGTCACAAATTACACAGTTTGCATTTAATAATTATGCAGGAAGATATGCATAATACAGAGAGGCAGGTGACAATGTCCCATGTGATATTACATAATAGAGATTCATTCTTCACGCTCTAAAGTTGTAAAAACTTTCATTGGAATTGTATTTACTCAAACCTTCCAATGTGGGCATTTACATTCAACATCCTGATTTCCTGTACCACATGTATATAAGGCGGTGTGAATCCCAAAAGCGACATTCAAATTGTTTATTCTCTCGTGGATAAACAGCGTAACTGACAGGATGCGCCTTCTTAACGTTGCAGTTGTTGTAGTCTTGGGTAAGTGTGCCTTATCTGATGAGAATTCGCAATCTTAAACTTTGTAATAATCAACTTTATTAGCTCTTGCTGAGTTTTAAGTGGCTTTTCGATTTGCTGACAACGTAATGAATAGGATAGTTTCTACCATGGTCTAAACTGTATCAGGAATGGTGGACGGATTTTGTGTGTGTGTGTGTGTGTATCCTGTCATATATGACCACTTATGTATTGTTGTTTCTTTACATTCTTCACAGTCTTCCTTGGCTCCGCCCTTGGTGGCCATGGTGGTGGTGGTGGCGGCCATGGAGGCGGAGGCCACGGAGGCGGAGGCCATGGAGGTGGCGGCCACGGTGGTGGTGGTGGTGGTGGTCACGGAGGCGGCGGTCACGGTGGTGGAGGTCACGGAGGTGGTGGCCATGGAGGAGGAGGAGGAGGAGGACACGGAGGTGGTGGCCATGGAGGAGGAGGAGGAGGCCACGGAGGTGGTGGCCACGGAGGAGGTGGTCACGGAGGAGGTGGTCATGGAGGTGGTGGTCATGGAGGCGGACACCACGGTTAAAAGATTCAAGGATCATCATATTCACATCAAATGCTGGACATTTGATATCATATTTGTCGATTGCACTCACCATGCTGCATCCATCCATTCTGTCTATTTCTCAACGAGTACAAATAAAGCTGTGATTTATATTGTAAATATATCTTTGGTTATATTTTCTTCAAGTACAATCAAATTCAAGATTGTATGAGCTAGTTTCCCTACTTACTTTTCAGTGTCCTGCATAGTGATTGTCACTTTGGAATCATTGCCCACAAAGGTTAGGAACCTCGGAGGCCATCCAATAAACCTATACACATGTTGAACAAAGCAACTAGACTGTTTCTGTCCGAAAATGCATGAAGTCCCATTTAGTATCGTACTATTATTATGGCCTCTAAACGTCCACCTGGCTTATAATTACAGCCGTGTGCATGTCCAAATAAAACTGTGGCACGTGCCTCAATGCACTCATGCAATGCCGATAGAATTAAGAGCTTATACAGTTGAGCAGCGCTCCACCATACAACGGCACGTTCTCAAGAGAAAGCCCACTCTAAACCAAAACCAATTGGTTTGTTTTCTGTTTTTTCAAAAGTCCAGCGCAATATGAATGGTCAAGGAGCAGATTCGCTCTAAGATAGACTGGGCCCGAGACCACAGTTACGTCCCCTAAGTTTTACCATGACCCGGAAGGTAAATAGGAGAATATAGTCCCCTGTTTGAATGGGTTGTTGAGTCTGTGCCAGATATGTTTGGAGTGACTTGTGATAGCTTAAATGCAAGATTGGACATTGTATTGTGTTGGTAATTTGTTTTGATCCAAAATGTGTGCATGATATTGACTCGAACTTCCCATGATTTGACCCCCAGTTGAAGGCCGATGGGTGTGTTTCGGCTCGATACTTCCAGTGACCGTTGTTGACAGCGTTTACTTGGAAGTCGAGCTGGTGGACCCAGACTGGTATTTTGCTGTTCAAATGATAAGTAACAGGTTAGTCAGCATGGGCGATATTAATCAGTATGAGTTGGCATGCCACTGTAGATAGCAAAGAATGACGAATAATTGTGCTCTGAGGCCAGATGAATGTTCATCTCTGGTGCTGTAGTTTGGTGGGTGGGTGTGGGTAATGGTTGGCAGGAAGGGGCTCATACATGGGTAATAGATTGACGGCTGAAGCCCCTAGTGCCTGTCATAAACTACCACCACATCCATGTTCCTGCGGAGACAGTGGTTTCATCAGGTATTCGTGTGATGGATAAGTATATCCTGTCCACATGTGGTGTTCGAAAGCTGAGATTTTACCACTCTTTAGAAAATGTTCATGCATTTCATCATTGATTAGTGTTTGGGCCAGTTACGAAATAGCATAAAATGTGACGTGAACTTTCTCACCCAAACACTCCCAAACACACACATATACACACACGAGATAAACTTAGATGGAAGAGTTCCTTTTAAAAGTAATATGGGCAGGGATGACATGATTTCCCTGTGTTCATTCATGTGTTATAGGCCAGAAAACCAAAGAGCGTATATCATCAGCTTTCACCCTGTTTTATTGTAGAAATTAATGAGACTTTGAAATTATTAGGGCAGGTATTCAAACTTTGAAATATATCACACACTTGAAAAATCCGACTTCACATAAGGTTTGATTATGAATAGATGAATAATTAGCTTCCCACAACCTCTGCTTTTAAACACGTATTTGACATACGTTGATAAAGTCAACCAAGTCATGGTAGCTTAGTAGACTCAGTACTTGCACCCAACGAAATTCTAAAGGTCAGCATTTATCCTTCATTTAAAATATTCTATCTCCATTCAAGTTTTTCACAAAACGGTCTGTAGCTGTAATTGCATTGGATGAACCACTAAATCTATCATGCTTCCCGGCAGTTAGATAGCCACAGGGTGCCAGGTTAGGTCACAAATACACAGTTTGCATTTAATAATTATGCAGGAAGATATGCATAATACAGAGAGGCAGGTAACAATGTCCCATGTGATATTACATAATAGAGATTCATTCTTCACGCTCTAAAGTTGTAAAAACTCTCATTGGAATTTTATTTACTCAAATCTTCCAATGTGGGCATTTACATTCAACATCCTGATTTCCTGTACCACATGTATATAAGGCGGTGTGAATCCCAAAAGCGACATTCAAATTGTTTATTCTCTCGTGGATAAACAGCGTAACTGACAGGATGCGCCTTCTTAACGTTGCAGTTGTTGTAGTCTTGGGTAAGTGTGCCTTATCTGATGAGAATTCGCAATCTTAAACTTTGTAATAATCAACTTTATTAGCTCTTGCTGAGTTTTAAGTTGCTTTTCGATTTGCTGACAACGTAATGAATAGGATAGTTTCTACCATGGTCTAAACTGTATCAGGAATGGTGGACGGATTTTGTGTGTGTGTATATCCTGTCATATATGACCACTTATGTATTGTTGTTTCTTTACATTCTTCACAGTCTTCCTTGGCTCCGCCCTTGGTGGCCATGGTGGTGGTGGTGGCGGCCATGGAGGCGGAGGCCACGGAGGCGGAGGCGGAGGCCATGGAGGTGGCGGCCACGGTGGTGGTGGTGGTGGTGGTGGTCACGGAGGCGGCGGTCACGGTGGTGGAGGTCACGGAGGTGGTGGCCATGGAGGAGGAGGAGGAGGACACGGAGGTGGTGGCCATGGAGGAAGAGGAGGAGGACACGGAGGTGGTGGCCACGGAGGAGGTGGTCACGGAGGAGGTGGTCATGGAGGTGGTGGTCATGGAGGCGGACACCACGGTTAAAAGATTCAAGGATCATCATATTCACATCAAATGCTGGACATTTGATATCATATTTGTCGATTGCACTCACCATGCTGCATCCATCCATTCTGTCTATTTCTCAACGAGTACAAATAAAGCTGTGATTTATATTGTAAATATATCTTTGGTTATATTTTCTTCAAGTACAATCAAATTCAAGATTGTATGAGCTAGTTTCCCTACTTACTTTTCAGTGTCCTGCATAGTGATTGTCACTTTGGAATCATTGCCCACAAAGGTTAGGAACCTCGGAGGCCTGCCAATAAACCTATACACATGTTGAACAAAGCAACTAGACTGTTTCTGTTCGAAAATGCATGAAGTCCCATTTAGTATCGTGCTATTATTATGGCCTCTAAACGTCCACCTGGCTTATAATTACAGCCGTGTGCATGTCCAAATAAAACTGTGGCAAGTGCCTCAATGCACTCATGCAATGCCGATAGAATTAAGAGCTTATACAGTTGAGCAGCGCTCCACCAATACAACGGCACGTTCTCAAGAGAAAGCCCACTCTAAACCAAAACCAATTGGTTTGTTTTTTGTTTTTCAAAAGTCCAGCGCAATATTAATGGTCAAGGAGCAGATTCGCTCTAACATAGACTAGGCCCGAGACCACAGTTACGTCCCCTAAGTTTTACCATGACCCGGAAGGTAAATAGGAGAATATAGTCCGCTGTTTGAATGGGTTGTTGAGTCTGTGCCAGATATGTTTGGAGTGACTTGTGATAGCTTAAATGCAAGATTGGACATTGTATTGTGTTGGTAATTTGTTTTGATCCAAAATGTGTGCATGATATTGACTCGAACTTCCCATGATTTGACCCCCAGTTGAAGGCCGATGGGTGTGTTTCGGCTTGATACTTCCAGTGACCGTTGTTGACAGCGTTTACTTGGAAGTCGAGCTGGTGGACCCAGACTGGTATTTTGCTGTTCAAATGATAAGTAACAGGTTAGTCAGCATGGGCGATATTAATCAGTATGAGTTGGCATGCCACTGTAGATAGCAAAGAATGACGAATAATTGTGCTCTGAGGCCAGATGAATGTTCATCTCTGGTGCTGTAGTTTGGTGGGTGGGTGTGGGTAATGGTTGGCAGGAAGGGGCTCATACATGGGCAATAGATTGACGGCTGAAGCCCCTAGTGCCTGTCATAAACTACCACCACATCCATGTTCCTGCGGAGACAGTGGTTTCATCAGGTATTCGTGTGATGGATAAGTATATCCTGTCCACATGTGGTGTTCGAAAGCTGAGATTTTACCACTCTTTAGAAAATGTTCATGCATTTCATCATTGATTAGTGTTTGGGCCAGTTACGAAATAGCATAAAATGTGACGTGAACTTTCTCACCCAAACACTCCCAAACACACACATATACACACACGAGATAAACTTAGATGGAAGAGTTCCTTTTAAAAGTAATATGGGCAGGGATGACATGATTTCCCTGTGTTCATTCATGTGTTATAGGCCAGAAAACCAAAGAGCGTATATCATCAGCTTTCACCCTGTTTTATTGTAGAAATTAATGAGACTTTGAAATTATTAGGGCAGGTATTCAAACTTTGAAATATATCACACACTTGAAAAATCCGACTTCACATAAAGTTTGATTATGAATAGATGAATAATTAGCTTCCCACAACCTCTGCTTTTAAACACGTATTTGACATACGTTGATAAAGTCAACCAAGTCATGGTAGCTTAGTAGACTCAGTACTTGCACCCAACGAAATTCTAAAGGTCAGCATTTATCCTTCATTTAAAATATTCTATCTCCATTCAAGTTTTTCACAAAACGGTCTGTAGCTGTAATTGCATTGGATGAACCACTAAATCTATCATGCTTCCCGGCAGTGAGATAGCCACAGGGTGCCAGGTTAGGTCACAAATACACAGTTTGCATTTAATAATTATGCAGGAAGATATGCATAATACAGAGAGGCAGGTAACAATGTCCCATGTGATATTACATAATAGAGATTCATTCTTCACGCTCTAAAGTTGTAAAAACTCTCATTGGAATTTTATTTACTCAAATCTTCCAATGTGGGCATTTACATTCAACATCCTGATTTCCTGTACCACATGTTTATAAGGCGGTGTGAATCCCAAAAGCGACATTCAAATTGTTTATTCTCTCGTGGATAAACAGCATAACTGACAGGATGCGCCTTCTTAACGTTGCAGTTGTTGTAGTCTTGGGTAAGTGTGCCTTATCTGATGAGAATTCGCAATCTTAAACTTTGTAATAATCAACTTTATTAGCTCTTGCTGAGTTTTAAGTGGCTTTTCGATTTGCTGACAACGTAATGAATAGGATAGTTTCTACCATGGTCTAAACTGTATCAGGAATGGTGGACGGATTTTGTGTGTGTGTATATCCTGTCATATATGACCACTTATGTA